GACTAGCGGACACGACTGAGGGCGGCGAGTCGTGGGTTGGTGTTGGTTTTTGGAAAAATACGGCGGAGGATGTCCAAAACACCGGTGAACAGCGGTGAACGACGGTGGGCTACCTGGGTCCAAGGCGCGGTGGCGCGGGGCGGTGCGTGCGGCGGCGTCCGGCGGCCGTTGATTATGAAATTTCAGGACGTGGGTCGTCTGAGGGCGGCGAGTTTGCTGGTGGTCTCGGTTTTCCGAAATGAGCAGCGGAAGTATGCCGAGTAGAGAAGAAAAGCTTCGGTCTTGTCAGAGAACCGAGGCGGCGCGGCTGGTGCGGCTAGCATCGTGGCGGCCACCGTGTGGCAGACCCAATGGGCGCTCCTCAGGTAATAACGGCTCTGATACCAAGTTGAGATGAGAGAATTTTATGTATATTATTTACTTGAAGAAGAATTACAAGGGCCCTTTATACAGGGAAAAATGAACAGTAACAAACCTTATGAACAGTAAATCCTAAAATATCTATTATATCTAACATCGTGAAACCGTCGTGGGTCAACGCCCTGAAATTCCCATGGAAATTGAAGAGGATTCTGCAGACTTCGTTTTGAGAAATGGTCCTTAAGTGATTTTCGACCACTATTTGGCAATTCAATGTTGGGTTCCTAATTTTGATCCAGATGTGGCTACTATAAACAGAGTGGCTGCTTGGGTTCGCAGTCCCTATCTAGCGATGGAGTATTTTGATGAGATATTTTTAATGATGTTAGGCAATTAGATTGGCCTTCCCTTGGAGGCGGACGCTACAATATTTGTTGCTGAAAGGGGAAACATGTGTGAATGTGTGTTCAAGTTGATCTCTCTAAACCCCTTATAACCACGATCATTTTTAGAGGTCGAAGATGCAGGATTAAGTATGAAGGCCTGCATTTCATATGCTTCCATTGTGGTCGTTATGGGCATAGAACTAAAGAGTGTGAGAGTAACATTGTGCCGTGCCTGAGGTAGCTACGCATGTAGAAATGTCTCCTGCAAAAAATGTGTCAATTAGAAAAGAAACCGTGGAGGTTGAGAAGTGTTGAGCTGATCCCGTGCTTCCTCGAGCCGTTAGTAATCAATATGTTTCTTTTGGGGTGAAGTCTCACTTGGGCGACGATGAGCTACTTAATCAATTTGCTAGAGAGAATAAACTTCCAGTCAGCACCCCTCGCAGGCTACTGAATCTTTTGTTGCTAGGCCCAAACCTTTGGTTCTTTGTAAGAGGGAACATGATGGTATGCGAAATAGGCTTGTATCTGTACATTAAGCTATAAAAGTTATCACAAAACTGGGATTTCATCATTCCGTAAGAGTAGATGCACAATTTTTTTCAGAGGTATAGGTTTCATGGAAGGAGAAGTCTTTGGGATTGGATTTGCTTTGCTCTGAAGCTCAGCTCCTCTACCTCAAACTAACTGTGAACAGGCCCTCCTGGTATTCACCGCTATTTATGCTAATCCTACAGAAAGCAAAAAGCTAGAGTTGTGGCTTATTATTGCTAATTTAGATAACTCTACAACTATGCCCTGGCTTGTTGCAGGAGATTTTAATGTTGCTCATGTTCATGAGAAAATGGGTGGAGCTCCTGTTTGCTTAGCCAAATGTGATAAATTTAGAAGCTGAATTGATACTTGTCATTATCTATACTTAGGTTTAACAAGTTATAAGTACACCTGGATAGACCCTAGGTGGTCGGGACTTGCGCGAGTTTTCAAGGGGTTGGTTAGAGCTTTGTGCAATACAGAATGGCGACTGATGTTTCCTAATGCCTTTGTCAAGGTTCTGCCGAGAGTAAAATCTGATTATAACCCCCTTCTTATCAGTCCTAGTGGTGTGATTATGCATAAATGTGTTAATCGACCATTCTGTTCTGAAGCTGCTCGATTAACACATCCTCAATTCTCCGAATTTGTTAAAGATAATTGGAGCGTTGATGCTTCACTTGGAGCTGAGCTTGAACAATTTAGAAGACATGTACAAGAGTGGAACCAGAGTGCATTTGGAAATATCTTCAGTCGTAAATGACAACTTCTTGCCAAGATTGGAGGTATTCTAAAGAAAGTTGGAGTAAGGGCACAATCCTTTTCTTCTGGAATTTGAGTAGAAGTTAAAGCACGAGTACATGAATACTTCTCTACCAGAGAAAATTTTGTAGTTTCTAAAGGTTAGAAATAAACGTATCTCTTTTGGGGATAGAAACACTCGATTCTTCCATGCAACAACAATTGTTCGAAGAAGACAATCGTATTTTATCATTGAAAACTGATGATGGAAGATGGATTGATTGACCAGGGACAACTGAAAAATATGGCTGACTCCTATTTCCAGAATTTATATGCAGCAAAATAACGAAATGATCTCTCAGCTCAATGGCTAAATCGATTTAGAAACTTATCCCGCATTTAGCTCCGAAGTTTGTCAAGGCATCTAAGTAGGGATGGAATTCATAAAGCAGTGTTTTGAGTGGGACCTTTTAAAGCGCCAAGACCAGATGGCTTTCAAGTAGTATTTTGTCAGCATCAATGCAAACTGTGAGCAGTTCAGTTCGTCTTGAAATTGCGAAACTTTGGCTTGGTGCTGGGAATTTGGAAAGTATCAATTGAACTCTTATCACCTTAATTTTCAAAGTTGACTTTCCTGAAAGGTTGGAGCAATTCCGACCCGTTAGACTTTGTAATGTTTCCTTCAAAATAATAACTAAGATTATTGAGAATCGATTGAAGGAAGTTATGCCAAACTTGACTTTGCCTAACCAAGCGAGCTATGTTCCGGGTCGCCAAATCCAAGTTAATATCATCATTGCTTAGGAAATCATTCAATGCGCAAAATGAATGGGAAGAAACGTTACCTGTTAGTCAAGATAGATTTTGAGAAGGCGTACAATAGGTTGAGCTGAGAATTCATTCGTGAGACCCTTCACATGGTTGGACTTTCGGTTCATCAATGGATTTCATGACACTATATGACTAACAATATGTAGATTCTTTCGAATGGGGAACTAACATAAGTGTTCAACCCTTCGAGGGGTGTGAGACAAGGTGATTCGCTTTGGCCTTTCATCTCTATCCTTTGTACGGAGCGGCTTTCTCACTTAATCATGGATTTGGTTGAGAAAGGTGACTGAAGCCGTTTGGAACTCATAGAGGAAGTCCTATGATCTGTCATTTGATGTTTGCGAAGATCTCCTGTTTTTTTTGTTGAAGTCTCTTTTGATCAAATGCAAGTTATTAAACAATGCCTTGACTCCTTCTACAATGCTTCAGGTCAGAAGGTTAAGGCGCGAATGAGAACCATTATACTTTTCTGTTTTTCTATTTTTTTTGTTCCTGGTAACAGATTTGGAACAAATATTCGTTTGGCAACGCAATTTTATTTTTCTATTTTCCAAGACAAATTTTTAGCCTGGAAATAGGTTTGGAACGGTTTCTACTTCTCATTTTTGGAACAGAAACAAAAATAACAATTCTTCTCAAAGCTCGCCCTTGCCACCCGCGATTGCCGCCTGCCCAACCGCTTACCAATGTACGAATTCTACATTGACACTATCAAACGAATTTTTGTCCAAGAACAAAAATTTTGTATCGTTATAAAATGCTACTTTTTGCTCTAAAACTCGTCCAAGGAATAGAAATAGAAACCGGAAATTGGGCTTGGGAACTGAATGATTATCATTTGCGCCCTAAGAATGTCCTTTGGAACAAAATGCTCCATATCAGTACTGTGGGAGGCTTCTTTCTTACAAGTAATTTTAGCAAATACTTAGGAGTGCCTTTGCTTCATGAACGAGTTACTCGAAGAATTTATCAACCTATTGCTGGTAAAGTACACAGTAAATTAAGTGAGTGCAAAGCTGAAAATTTATCTCTTGTGCGAAGAATTGCCTTAGTACAAAATGTCGTTATGCCACAATACGTGATGCAAGCACGAAGTTGCCTGTTATAATATTTGAATAAGTTGAACAAAGTTGTTGAAATTTTGTCTAGGGTGATATCTGGTTAAAAGGAAGATGTATCTAGTGAGATGGGGAAGGCTTTGGCAACCAAAGAATTGTGAAGGGTTAGGACTTCGCAGTTTGAGAAAAAGTAATAAAGCATTCCTCATGAAACTTACTCAGTCCTTAGGTTCAAAGCGAGAGTCCATGTGGGTGACTTTTGATCGAGACAAGTATAATTGTGTTGAACTCTTGTATGATTTCATTCCAACTCCTACAACTCATTCTTTACTTTGGAAAGCATTCAGTGAAGTATGTGTTGGGACTAACAATACAACCTAGAGGGGGGCTGAATAGGTTATGTAATAATACAGTAAAACTTTCGCAGGATATTGAACAACAATCACTCAAGATAGTGATAGATATGTGATAGCGTGTGTGATGCTAATAAGTAATTAGAGTAGAGTATGAAGATCACACAATAATATATAGTAGTTCGGATTTATACCCAAGCCTGCATCCACTCTCAGACTAATAGCCTAAACAGCAGCGGGATTGCACTAGTAATTAGTAGTGCAAGTTACAACTGGCTAGTGATGTTTCTTTTACTTGATAGATCACACTATCAAGACACACTCACTGCATTTACACTTGTATATTTAACTATCACCCATTGCAGTGCTAAATCGATACAAAGAGAAACATAAAACAATCATAAAAACGGTTTCTGACTTAGTTCGTACAAGCAGTATTTAATATATCCCTGTTCTCCACCTTCTACAAAACTTTGTTGGGAGAAGGACACTAAAAGTGTCAAAAGTTGTGTATGGCGTTCACTTTAGTGGCAAAAGTTTTCGTCGGCTCACTTAAGTACTAAATTGGAGAAAAGACGATCACTTAAGTGCATCCGACGAGAAATTCGGCTAGAGAAATCATGTGACTTTTATAATTAAAATTTTTATCTAATGTGGCATTTTTTTTAAAAAAAAACCAGTCCACGTGGACAATGATTGTGTAAAATGACGTCGTTTCTTCGAAATTCTGTTTTACATCTTCTTCGTTTCTTCTCCTCCTCCACCATCCTCTCCACTGCAGCCCCTGGAGCCACCGCCCACCACTCCCAGCACCGCCACCTCCTCCACTACCTCGACGAGTTCGGCGATTGCGGTGCGAGCGCGGCTGTCGACCCATCCATCTCCTTCGAGAACCCTCGCTTCGGCCACGCCTACATGCTCTCATCCAGTATCCCAGCCGCTTCCTTCGATGAAGCGACTTCAATCTCTGTCGAGAGCTCTTCGATTGTTGCTACGGAATCAAGGTAAGTTATCTCTCATTTTCCGACTTTCATTTTTTTGATTCAATCAATGGCGTTGATCCTCAGCCTCTTTTCGAGATTTCCTCATCGATCTGCCTTCTCCATCGCTCTCCTAACACCGAAAGCCATCACTAGAGAGCAAGGGATTCATCATACACGCACTGGACCAAACGAAGAAGTTCTCGATAGAAGCGATTTCCCTTCGAGTCGGACTCGCAATTTCAGACGAATCGATTCTGGTGGCTGTGGCTCTCGTTGATAGAAGTTTCATGGCCGCCGCTCACTTTCTCGATTTCACCCTGTTCCGTGGCCGAGAGCATTGAAGTGGTTAAATCTCGGTTGAAACTTCCTCACTTGTGTCCATATTCAATGACAACGAATTACTGGACCTCTTGCTGTCAGTTGATTGATGATGGTGATCAGTGTCACTTGTGCTCGATTCTCTTGAGATCTACGCTATAATTGGATGATTTGTGATGGCTCTATGATTCTAGCGCTGATTTCAGTAATTCCAGATGAAAACATGGCTTCGATTCCATAGCCTGAGTCAATCTTGTTGTTGCACATATACTATTTGACAAAATACCTCAAAGGCATGTCTGAGAAATAACACAGGATATTATCCAATATGAGAATTTGCTGACACAGTTTACTTGTTTCCAGTTAATTTGTTGAGAATTTGAAGATGATTCTCGTTGTAATTCATCATTATCGAATCTGAGCACATGTTTTTCTCTTGCTTTTGTTCCGTGCTTCGTGCATTCATGTGGCGCTCAATGTTGGTCGATCAGGTGTCAACAATTAGGATTCCTCCTTATTAAGGCAAATTCTTCGTACTCCGTTTTTGCCGCTTATGAACAAAGCCGAGTCTGTAAATTTCAGCTACTGCAGGGGCGTAAACCAGCCATGATTTAGTATCCATTGATGATTCAAGTTTGCTATTAGGATGTTGCGGTCCGTGGGAGCGGTGCTTGGTGACGATAAGGTGTAGACGGTCCAGTGGTGCTTGGCGACGGTAAGGTGAACACTTCAGCCAACAGATTTAAGCATTTCTCTCAAGTATGCTTCACAACTTCACGGAGACATTTCAACAAACAACCTACGTGGACGAACATTGGCTCACACTTATCCAAAACAAGGCAAGAAAGAGAGGAATGAAATTACCTTGTCTAGGAGGGTTCTCGGTTGCGCTTATTGGTTGAGCTGCACGAGAAGGTGCAGCTGGTTGATGCTGTTGGTTTGTGCTTGCACCAACACGTATTTGTGCAGCTGATGCAAGCACAAAACTGCACAAGCAATTGTGTTGTGCTGGTGCATGCGCGGCACTAAAATGATCACTTTTTTTCAACGACCGGCACTGAAGTGGTCTTTTTAAAAAAAATTGGCACTGAAACGATAACTATTTACAACTTTTAGATGACGTCGTTTAGGGATTATATGTTTACTGGGTACGCCGGCAAGCCACGTAGGACTGAGAAATTAATAAAATATAGCCATGTTGGATTTTCGACGATCCAAACCGGAGTTGACATTTAAGTGATCGTTTTTTTTTTTAAGTGACACTTAAGTTATCCGAAAAAAACTTTTGGCACTAAAGTGAGCGCCGTACACAACTTTTGGCATTTCTACTGTTCTTTCCCCTGACTTTGTTGCTTCTTATAGACTAAAGTCTTCAATCTATCCATTGGAGACCTTTAAGGATGCTAGCTAGCCATTAGAGAGTCGTTGGAGACCTCAAATAGAATCAAGTTTGCTCTTGTAGTCGCTTCATCTGACTATTGCAGGTTTCCCAAATTGAGTCTATTTCACTATCTTTAAGTAGAAAACTGTCGGCTGCTTTTCTGCTTTCTTTCCCAGTTTTCCAATGACGGAGTCCAATCTTGCAACGTCTATTTTTTTACGATCATCAGTCATTTTCAAGGGCATATCTCACCATCATCAGAGTTACTGAAACACTACCATAATCCAATGCACACTATCATTGGTGCAGATTATGAGTGACTCTTCTTACGATCTTCAGTGACGACATCACCATTTGACATGTGATGATAGGATCAATGATCTTCCTATCTCCATCAGTATCAAGAACCTCCAAGAATACTAGCTCGACTGATCTTTCCAAGTTACCATGAGATACTACTCAATTGGTACTTGTTTACCGAAACGTCACAGCTTGGCTTCTTATCCTTGCTGATCTAAGAGGATCGTTGATAATACTCACAAACTTGTACCATCTGCATATCTCATTATAAATAGTAGTATCAAATATAGTTTTGAAATCATCAAAATATCATAAGGATGTTTTCTCAATAGTATGGTCTAACGTCTTAGACTGTACGAGATGGGTAGTGGCTAATGAGTGAATAGTCAAATTATGGACTGACAACTAGCTTGATGAAGTTGGTCCCTTGGTCAATTGAATTTTGCGATGTGCTACAATTTCAGATCTCTACTGCCTTGTTCCTGATTTGGTTTGCAACAACTAATGGAGTCAAATAAGTCTAACTAGTGTTTAGCCTTATTCAATTTTGATGCAAATTCAGTCCATGCTCCTAACTTCACGGTGTGGCGGTGATGATTCGCTGGTCTAGGGGAACAATAGAAGTGGTTCTTTCACTGTCAAAGAAGCTTGCAAATTGATTTCATCAAGACATCAATTGCCTATTGATATACTCTAGAGTTTAGTGTGGAAATGTGATGGGCCGCAAAGGATTAGAAGCTTCTTGTGGTTGGTTTCTCACCAGTGCCTAATTACTAATTAGGAAAGGTTCCAACAAAAACTCATTGTGAATTCCTTTTGTGCTTCTTGTCCGAAACCCTCTGGAACAATATTGCGCATGCTTTGGGATTGTAAGTATACAAAGATTGTTTGACAAAAGATTTTGCTAGCAAGCTTAAGGGGTGAATTCTTTACCCATGATCTGCACGAGTAAATGTTGGCAAACCTCTTTGCTTCAACAACTCTTGTAAAAGAAAGTTGGCCACTAGTTTTTGGTGTAGCTTGTTGGCATTTTTGGAATTGGAGGAACAAGAGATTATTTTATATGGACTTTTCTTTTCCTAGCGCACTCATGGATCTGATTTTGGGATATGTTAAATACTTTCTTTTAGCTCGTATGACAGAAAATAGATTGTCTTCTCAGAGGGAGAAACAAGATAAGGTTTGTCGGTTGGATAGTCCCTCTTTCTAGTTGGGTCAAACTCAATTCTGATGGGATCTCTAAAGGCAACCCGAGTCCACCTTCAGTAGGTGGGCTACTTCGTAATAAATCAGGCAATTGGCTTGTTGGGTAAGCGCAAATTGTGGGAGTGCACTCTTTGCTCAAAGCAACATTTTTTTTCATCTCACAATGGCATCTCGTTGGGTATTCGCATACTTATCATGGAGGTGGACTCGCAAGTGGCCATTTCCCTTCTTTAGAAATCAAATCCCTCTCTTAATTTTAGTGACATTCTCCTTTCTCAAATTGGAAACCGTAAGAGTAAAATCATGTGTATATTGGTTTGGTTAGCAAATTGGGTATTTCATTCCTATGACGTAAATGACATTCTAGCAATAGATAGGCCACCGATTGGTTTCTTTCCTTTGTTGATAGGAGATAAGACTGAATCAAATTTTATCAGGAGAGTAATGGTGTAATACTTGGGCTTTGCCTCCTTTTCTTACAAAAAAAGCTCATTCAAATGAGTCATGGGAGGTTGTTTTCTAATTTAAGCATGTTTCCTAATTTGATTGGATTTCCTAATATAATGTTTCCTAGTTAAATGTTTCTTAGTTTAATGTTTGCTAATTTAATGCTTGGTGAGTGGGCCGGAATGCCGAATGCATTTGATGGTAAGAAAGTATTTGTCGTGTTTGTGAGAAAATAATTTTTGAATGAATTCGCCACTTACGCATGAAAGAATGTTCCTCTAGACTATGATGAAGAATTTTAAGGTTGATCAGCAACAAATTGTATTAAGAAATGAAGGATTGACTCAGTTGTGAGAAATTCTTATATATTACAACTCAAAATCTGCATTCTTAGGACTGAGAATGCTCTTCCTATTTATAGATAGACTAAGACGTTAAACTAGGAAACATTTAATTGTGAAAATATTAACTAGGAAATATTAAATTAGAAAATATTAAACTAGTAGATGTTCAATTAGGACACATTATATTAGGGAATCTGGTCAAATTAGAAAACATGCTCAAATTAGGAAACAATCCTCCAACTTTGACTCAATTGAATGAGCCTTTATTCAATTTCTAGGAACTCTATCTCTCTTGCTTCTCATTGGATCCATTGTATCACATCACCGAAATCTCCCTTTGCTTGTATAAACATAGGCTTGGTTAATTGATGAGGTTCGAGTATTACTTATGAGTTGATTATCTTCCATAAAATTTGATGCTCCCACATCAACAACTTTATAAGCTGCGAAAACCGAACCCTCGCCTTCATGGTCTATTAGAATTAATCTTTACACAATTTTTTTCGTACAAATAATATTCATCTGTGAAAGCCATAATCACCAATCTGTCCCGATTCATTCAATAAACAACATATAGAAGGAAATCTAAAGAGTGTTGTGAATAACGGTGCCTCTTTGACGCCAATCTGCCATTGAGGTCTAATTCACACAATAAAAGGACATGCAACAAATTTGGGAAAGTATCTCACACAATAAATTCACATATATTGGACATCATTTTTTTATTCCAAAAAGGGAATGAAACACCAAAAAAGACGTACCACATGGTAACAAGAAGCAGACAAATCTCTATCTCTATATATATGTAAAGCCACATTTTCGGGGAGCCTCATCAAGAACATCCCTTACATCAAACACTACAAAAACCCCACGATTTGTCATCATCATCCTCAAACCTCACAGTCTCTCTCAAAAGTCTAAACAATGGCATCAAATTTTCTCTCACCATACAGCTTTCTCTTCTCTCTTCTCCTCCTCTTCTCAACTGCATCCTCATCAAAGACATCATCTTTAACCGCGGACTTATCGCCAATCACACAAGCAGAGAAGCTCATTAAAGGGCTCAACTTGCACCCCAAAGAAGCTGTTAATATTAGAACTGGAGATAAAGATTTCTCTTCATTGGCTTCTGATGGGAAGATCGCCGAGAGGCGCTTGGAGCTCCCAGTTCTCGGCGATTCCGGGTCGTCCATTCAGGACCTCGGTCACCATGCTGGGTATTACCGGCTTCCACACTCCCATGCTGCAGAGTGAGGCCTTGGAATTAACTTTGATAGCCAGATTTTTTTTTTTTGATGTAGAATATGATTTCATATATCTAGTACTCAATCAATATGTTCTAGAAATTTTTTGAATCACCTGTTATACTTATTTTGTTAGGCCTAGATGATAGGAAAATTAATGGGTTATCGATGAAACATGATAAATGAGAAGTTAACAGAGGTCGGTCAGTAAAACCCGCCAAGAAATTTTCTTTCTTATACATGTTTCTTCGATTTGCGCAAGCCAAACGAGATTCGGCATGTTCTAGTTCATCAAGTTCTGGTCACAACTCTTTGTCCTGTTTTTGGTCCGATTTTTCAGGTTGTTCTACTTCTTCTTCGAATCACGGAACAGCGCAAATGACCCGGTGGTGATATGGTTAACCGGAGGGCCTGGTTGTAGCAGTGAATTGGCATTGTTCTATGAGAATGGCCCTTTCCATATTGCCAACAACTTGTCTCTTGTGTGGAATGATTACGGTTGGGACAAGGTGAGTGAGTGACAATTTTGTACAAATCATAGCATTATTAATCATAATTAATACTCCCAAGAACGTTGCATCATTCTTTGGATTTTTCTCTTTGTTCTAAATATTTGTTTTGAATTATCCAGCGTTAGCGTTGTTTGACGGCATCGTCCTACTACTCTTTTCTGTTGTGTTTTTCCGTGACATTATTGCACATGATGTTGGGTTAGTTCGTTTTCAGTATTCTTTCTTGAAAAGCAATTGCCAACTTCTTCTGTTGCTTTCGCTTTCGATAGCTTGCCATGAAACAAAACTTCAACATTGTTTTGGCAAACTGATAGTTGTGCGTGATAATCGCGATCATGGTCAATAAAATTAATTATTGAACGAATAAACAATGCGTATCTTATTAAATTAAAACGGAAAATCAGACAATTTAAAAACATATGTTATTGATGTATAAACTATTTACAGTTTGAAGTATATGACATTACATGCTTTTGTTAATGTTTTTTTTTCCCACAGGTGTCGAATATCATCTTCGTCGACCAGCCTACTGGAACCGGTTTCAGCTACTCCTCTGATGAGAGCGACATCCGGCATGATGAGCAGGGTGTCAGCAATGACTTGTACGACTTCTCGCAGGTATACATGAGCTCATTGATCATAATCTGGGCACCCGATTAACTACTTTTATTATGGCTTAATACTACAAAAAATTCTAAATTAGTACATTTATAATAAATTTATCCCAAATTAATTTTTTTACCACAAAAAAATCCCAAATTAATACACTCATGATAAATTTACCTTCCGTTAGTTTCTGTTAATTTTTACTGTCAAATTGCTGAGTTGAATGACATGTGGCAAGGGTATATTAGTTTAGGATTTTATTCCTCTGTTTGACCAGTTTGTGATTTTTCTTGATATTAGTCCAAGTTAAAGGAGGGTAAATTTGTTTGTCACAAGTAAACTATTGTGGGGTTTTTGATGGTCAAAATATTAGTTTGGGTAAATTTGTCATAATTGTACTGGTTTGGAGTTTTTGGTGGTATTAATCCTTTATGGACAACCCAATTTTTGATTGGGTACTTTTCAAGTTAAAAATTCAAGCATATGATAGACTAATCTCTCGTTGCGATAATCAGGCCTTCTTTGCAGCACATCCTCAACTTGTTAAGAATGATTTTTACATAACCGGAGAATCATATGCTGGGCACTACATTCCCGCTTTTGCTGCTCGTGTTCAGCAAGGGAACAAGGCAAAGGAAGGAATTCACATAAACCTGAAGGTACTTCATGTTTGTATGGTAATTTTTTTCTATGATATATTAACTTGTTCCTTCTTTTGACATAGTTAACTTCTGAATCTCGAACAGGGGTTTGCAATTGGCAATGGCCTAACCAATCCTGAGATCCAGTATGGAGCTTACACAGATTATGCTCTAGACATGAAGTTAATCACGCAGTCCGATCACGACAGCATTGACACACTTTTCCCAAAATGCAAACAGGCGATTCAACAGTGTGGTATCTTTTTCGGCCTAAATCTCTGTTTATGCTTCATGAAAACATTCGGGAAGCTGTCTTTTTTCATTCTGAAAGCAGAAACTTTACTACTAATCTATGCAAATTATGTGCAGCAACCAAGGGCGGAGACGAGTGTGAGATTGCATTTACCGATTGCCACATTATTTTCACTATGATCAAGGAGTTTATCGGGAACACCAATGTACGATAGCAAGAGTCTAATTTTCCCTTGAAAGAAGCTTTCCGAAATTAACGTTTGATTACTGTGAATTTGAAATGTTGATGATTGGCCTACAGTACTATGATATACGAAAGAGCTGCAAGGGTTCCCTGTGCTACGATTTCTCAAACATGGAGACATTCCTGAACCAAAAGACAGTGCGAGATGCCTTAGGGGTTGGGGATACAGGGTTTGTGTCGTGCAGCAGCACCGTGTATAATGCAATGCTCCAGGATTGGATGAAGAATCTCGAAGCGGGTATACCTGCCCTTCTTGAGGACGGGCTGAAGGTGCTCATTTATGCCGGTGAATATGATCTCATCTGTAATTGGCTTGGTAAACCCCGATCTTTCAAGTTGGTAGACACTAGACAGAATCAAACGTAACATTACCTGGTGAATGACATGTCTTTGCTGATGTAAATTTGAGTAGGAAACTCCAACTGGGTTCATTCCATGGAGTGGTCTGGTCAAAAGCAGTTTGGGACATCTCCTACTGTTCCATTTGTCGTTGATGGTGCCAAGGCAGGATTGGTGAAAAGCCATGGACCACTTACTTTCTTGAAGGTCTCTCTCTCTCTCTCTCTCTCTCTCTCTCTCTCTCTCTCTCACACACACACACACACACACAGAGAAGCGCACACACAGATTGCAATGTGCAAGCATGCGCGCACAACATACTTTAAAGATGAGAGAGGGAAATTATAAGTTCAATTCTGGCTGTGTGATGAAATGCAGGTTCATAATGCTGGGCACTTGGTTCCAATGGATCAGCCGAAAGCTGCTCTACAAATGCTAAAGAGCTGGATGGCAGGCAGAGTCGCCATGGCTGGTGCAAATAGCGAGATTGTTACTTAATGAAAAGAGAGTGCCAACAGTACCGAACATTTAAATCTTGTTCATATCCAAAATATATAAGATACAGGATGAGTCCGTGGAAAATGGAAACGAAAGGCAAAGAATAAAAGTCATTTGTTTACGTTCATCCAACATTACAGATTTATAAACAATACACTTGTGTGTTACATTTCAAAATTCATTATATCGAGATACAAACTTCTCCTGGAGCGTAACACACTTACCAGTTAGCCCTGCATAACTTGGGAGCATGATTCCTGAGTCTGGTGCATAACAGGCGTTATCTAGCTGCAGAAGAAGAGTTGAGAGACTAAAATGGGCACACATCATACTCAAATAGATAAGCAAAAATTAATATGTGAAATTCGACCTGGTATACAATTCCAAAGTGATCTGCAGTCTATTATATATCAAGGGATAAAAAAGAACACAGTGATATAAACAAATGAAATAATGATGTCATCTGACGCTTGTTTTTATGGATAATCTCCACTCCTCTACTGACTTCAATTCAAGATTCCCTCTCTTTTATCTTCCATTAGTACCAAGAATGGAACACAAGCACAAAATCCAAGTGAAAGCAGAAATCATTCAGGAATAACAGTGTGACCAGGTGAAGGCAAAGCTCTATGCTTTGCGAGGTTTGAGAAGCTTCACTGTCTCCCAGGTGAAATCCGGGTCGTCACGTCCAAAATGCCCATATGCCGCTGTTTTCTGAAACTTGAATTTACCTCCTCTCTTCAGATCAAGATTGATAGGGATCATTCCCGGCCTGAAATCGAATTTCTCCTTGATCAATGCCAGAATGTCCTTGTCTGGAATCTTCCCAGTTTTATAAATGTCTACGAACACAGATAACGGTTCGGGAACACGGATGGCATAAGTAACCTGCACAAATGCAGCGTCGAGCAAGCGCAGAAGCTACCACACTCTTTGCAGCTTGCCTAACAATGTAGGCGCCACTCCGGTCAACCTAGGCTGGGTCCTTGCCCGAAAAAGCACCACCACCGTGGGCACCAACCAACATAAAAGTCGATTATTATCTTCCTCCCGGCGAGGCCCTCCATCACCATGGGGCCCACCGATCACCAAACGCCCTGACGGGTCGAGGTGGAAAATCGTCTTGTCGTGAAGATTCTGCGGTGGAATCTGCTGGGGAAAATATGATCTATTGGGAACAACAGTGGATTCATATTTTGAGTTGTGATAACACTCTAAATTATTTGCCCCATAATATTGTTAATGGTTACCGACAAAAATCTTACATGATACAATAAAGTTTCGAATGAGAGTATCAAATAGCAATTCCGGTATTTTTTCAAAAACTTTCAAAGGGAAAATGGAAGAAAAACATGATTATAGAACAGACACGTTAAATAATTAATAGCAAAAGACAATAAAATATATCTGAACAGATACAGTTCCAAAGGTTAAGAAGTTATGTCTGAACAGGTTCGATCTCTGAAATAACGGTAGCCGAAGAAATAAAATTCGAGATTAAATAAATATAAATAAATGTAACTCCTTTGTGAACAGTTGCACTCTTTCAATAAGATATTGTGGTTCTTTTTTAATTATAAATCCGAATTTAAATTAAAAAACAAAAATAATTGTTGATTAGTGCCAAATCTAGTCCATGTGCGCACTCACATCTTTCCGATGTGGAACAGGGCATGTCTTAGTTTGTTTTACAAACAATCTACCAACAATCCACGACTTTGTTTGTTAAACAAAAATATAAAAAATTTAAAAATAATACAGCCAAAATTTATATGAGATTAATATACATACATAAAGATCTTTTTTGAGTTAAACCTTTATTTATTGCAAGTATCTCAAAATTCGATAAAAGTTTTAAGTATCTATGCTTTAAACTTGCCACTTTAATAATAGAATCAGATATACCACACATATACTAACCTCTTGTTTCAACGAGAAGTTCATAATTTACTTAACACTATTATGGGCTTATGCTGGTACCTATTTCATGAGCTTTCTAGTAAGCAACCCTAATTGTAAGAAACGTACTACTTCTAAGCTCATATAGGTAAAGTATCTACATGTGTTTCCGTTACTAATAAACACATTACTCATTTGTATTATACTTCATTAAAAATATAATTCAGCCTACAAAACGTAAGAGACAATACCGACCTCTCAAGTCCGGTACTAATGTTAGTATTAAAAACCACGTCTCTTACCATGTCTCTTGAGGTCACATTTCTTTTGAGGTCATCTTTACCATGTCTCTTGGTCAAGCCTTTGTAAAGGGATTAGTAAGATTCTTGCTTAACCTCCTCTAGACAATTGTTGTGATACCATCCTAAATCCACGTAGGACGATTTGTTGGAAGTGACATAAATGATTGATTTTACTCCAATGTGGCACTTAAGTGAACGAAGAAAAAGTTATAGCGCTCGAGTGAGTGCCGTACAAAAGTTGACACTCGTGCCATTCTTATCCCAAGCTTCTTATGACCAGTTTCTCACAAGCGCCTAATTACTAATTACTAAAGGTTCCAACGAAAATGTACAAATTCCTTTTGCGTTTCTTTTCTGCAATCCTCCGAAATAATATTGCACGTGCTTAAGGATTGTAAGCATGAACAAATTATTTGACAAAAGATTTTGCTAGCAAGCTTAAAAGGTGAATTCTTTTCCCATGATTTGCACGAGTAGTTGTTGGTAAACCTATCTGCTTCAACAACTTTGGTAAAAGAAAGTAACTGGCCACTAGTTTTTGGTGCAACTTGTTGGCATTTTGAGATCGAAGGAACAAGTGATTATATTAGACAAACTTTTCTTTTCCGAGCGCACTTATGGGCATTATTTGGGTTATGTTAAGGACATTTTTTCGGATTGTATGACTAAAAATATATTTTCTTCGTAGAGAGAGAAATGATATCAGTTTGTGGGCAAAAGGACACTACAAGTGCCATAACTTGTGTACGGCGATCACTTTGGTGCCATAACTTTTTTTCGGATCACTTTGATGCCAAGTCGGAGGAAAAGAGATCACTTTAGTGCCAATTTGGCCGGAAATCCCACGTGGCATTTTTTATTAATTTTTTGACGCCGACGTGGCTCGCCGGAGGCTGAGTCAGCGTGTACGGTCAGCATTTTTTATTTTAAATAATTTTTTTCAGCGTGTACAGTCAGCATTTTTAATTTTAAATATTTTTTTTCTTTTTTTTTTCTTATTTCCTTTTTCTTTTCTTTTCTCCCCTTGCCGGCCGGTTGCCGGTGGATGGCCGGCCACCGGCGAAGCCCGGGAAGGGCTGGGTGAGGGCAGCCTTGCCCATGGCCGATGAGGGGCGGCTGACCCTCGCTGGCGACAGGCGAGGCCGGCCCTCGCTCGACGCCGGCAAGGGTCGCCCTCGCCAGATCCGGCGAGGGCGACCCTCGCCGGCGAGGGTCGCCCTCGCCTGAGTTGGGCGTGGGCGACCCTCGCCCGACGCCGGCGAGGTCGCCCGACGCCGGCGAGGGTCGCTGACGCCGGCGAGGGTCGCCCTCGCCAGATCGGCAAGGAAGCCCTCGCCCGGGCGGGCGAGGGTCGCCCTCGCCGGCGTCGGGTGAGGAAGCCCTCGCCGGGCCGGCGAGGGTCGCCCTCGCTTGAGTCGGGCTTGGGCCACCCTCGCTCGACGCCGGCGAGGGTCGCTCTCGCCTAAGTCAGGCGTGGGCGACCCTCGCCGGACGCCGGCGAGGGTCGCCCTCGCCGGCGTCGGGCGAGGGAAGCCCTCGCCTGGGCCGGCGAGGGTCACCCTTGCTTGAGTCGGGCGTGGGCGACCCTCGCCAGCGTCGGGCGAGAGCAGCCCTCTCTTGGGCCGGCGAGGGCCGGCCTCGCCTGTCTCCGGCGAGGGTCGGCCGCCCCTCGCTTGCCATGGGCAAGGTCGCTCTCGCCCTGCCCTTCCCGGGCTTCGCCGGTGGCCGGCCGGCCACCGGCAACCTGCCGGCGAGGGGATAAAAGAAAAAAAAGAAAAGAAAAGAAAAAGGAAAGAAGAAAAAAAATGAAAAAAATATTTAAAATTAAAAATGCTGACTGTACACGCTGACTCAGCCTCCGGCGAGCCACGTCGGCGTCAAAAAATTAATAAAAAATGCCACGTCAGATTTCCGGCCAAATTGGCACTAAAGTGATCTTTTTTCCTCTGATTTGGCACCAAAGTGATCCGAAAAAAAGTTATGGCACCAAAGTGATCGCCGTACACAAGTTATGGCACTTGTAGTGTCCTTTTGCCTTAGTTTGTGGGTTGGACCGTCCCCCCTATTAGTAGGGTCAACTCAATTTCGATGGGATCCCTGAAGGCAACCTAAGTCTAGCTTTCAGTAAGTGGGCTACTTCATAATAAATCGAGCATTTAGAATATTGGGTTCGCGCAAAATGTGGGAGTGTACTCTTCGCTCAAAGTAGCATTTATTTGGGTCTCAAAATAGCCATCTCATTGGGCATTCGCAAATTTATTGCGGAGGTGGACTCGTAAGCGGCAATTTCCCTTCTTCAGAAATCAAATCCCTCTCTTAATCCAGTGTAGATTGGTTAGCAAATTGGGCAATTCAATCTTGTGATGTAAATGATACTGTAGCAATAGATAGGCCACCAAGAGATTTACTTCCTTTGTTGATAGGAGATTAGATTGGACTAAATTTTATTGTGAGAGTAATGGTGTAACACTTGGGTTTTGCCTCCTTTTCTTACCCTTAAAAATGGCTCATTCAGCTGAGTCATGAAAGGTTGTTTCCTAATTTAAGCATATTTCCTAATTTAAGGCTTGGTGAGGGGGTGAGAATGTTGAATGCCTTTGATGGAAAGAAAGCATTTGTTGTCTTTGCGAGAAAATAATTTTTGGATGAATTCACCACCTAGGCAGGAAAGAATGTTCCACTGCACTGTGATAATTTTAAGGTTTGTTTTTTTGGTAAGGTAAGAAGTATATTGACTTTTCGAAGCGCAACTTACAAGGATGGGAGTCGTAACACAAAAACCTTGTACCTAGGGGAACAAACAAGACGATGTCCCAACAGGTGCAAATGTGTAACGATAAAAAAGTGCTAAGAGCACATCAGAAGAAGGCCATATACAATGGCCAGCAGAAGAACGAAAATTACATACAAGACAACCTGAAGAGGTCACTCAAAGATGGAAGGCGATAAATCCCAGTTAGCTTGGATTCTTCTATTACAGGGAGTGTCTTGAACAGGCTTAAATGATAGGCCTTTGTCTCTTACGACCTTTAAAAGGTGATTGCGTATGGCCGGCAGAAAGAGAGGTCGATTCCTGAAAATGATATGGTTCTGCTCTGTCCAGATAATATAACACAATGTAGCAAACGAGAAGCGTGCAATACTTTGATGAAATTTTCCTCTAGCAATGTACCGCATGGCCCAACGGAGATTGTCTTGCCAAGAGCCATTCCGCCAGTGAAGGTTACATTTCATTTCCCAGAAGGAAGCTAGGGAGGACGTGACAGTACAACCAAAAAAAAGATGGCCAATAGAATCCGGTCTACAACGGCAATATGCACAAACTCCTTCAGAAATTCTGTGGTACGATAACAACAGCACCTGTATTGGTAACCTATTGAGAGACATAAGCCATAACAAAAAACCATGTCTCAGTTCTATATTGCGGTCCCAAATGAAGGAGTTCTAGTGCACAATCTGTCCCCTTTTTCTGATCAGTCCCCATGCCGATGCAATGGAAAAAACACCCGTATAGTGTCCCTGCCATAAAAGGCTATCACATCTCTCCTGTACTAGGGTAGGGATACCATCCATCCAGGAGGTTATAGTCTGGAGCACGTAGGACGGTTGCCAATTGGAAGAATAAAATTCCCTCACAGAAGCCCTTCTAGGAATGCCCGAGTGGTATATATCTCTGTCATTGAAAAACTTATAGAGAGGGCCTCTAGGGTGCCAAAAATCAAACCAAAAGGAAGTGGAATCTCCATTACCAATCCGCCATAAAAATTGCAGTTGAAATTCCTGGCGGATATCAAGAATTTTCTTCCATGCCCATGAACAACAAGTTGGCTTAGAAGCAGCCCATAAGTTTTTGTTCTTCGGAAATGTGGAATGGATCCACTTACACCAGAGTGACTCTTTATCTGTGAATAGGGCCCAAATATGTTTGAGCATTGCCGCCCGATTGCAGTCACCGAGACGCCTAATACCCAGACCACCTTCCTCTTTTGGGAGGCATACCATATTCCAAGGGACTTTTGCACCTCCAACGCCTAAGTCCGGTCCTTTCCAAAGGAATTGCCTGAGAATCATCTCAATCCTCGATAGTACCGACATAGGAAGGCTGAACACACTAGCCCAAAAAACATGTATAGCATGAAGGACGGACTTAATGAGTTGCAAGCGGCCAGCAAATGATAAAAAGCGTTGGGACCAAGAACGTGCTCTTGCCGTGATGGCGTTCACTAGCGAGGTACAATCCGCTTTACTAAGTCTAGCGGCAATAACAGGTACACCAAGATACCGAAAAGGGAGTGTACCTTCAATGAAGCCAAAGGATTGTAAAATCTACTCTCTTAATTCCGGCGATCCTCCCGAGAAGAAAATCTCACTTTTGTTTACATTTGATTTAAGGCCAGACCAACAGGAGAATAGATGGAGGCCATCCTTCAAAAGATCAGTGGATATCAAATTTGCTTCCGAGAAAAGGAGGACATTATCGGCAAAGAAAAGGTGAGTTAGGGTAGTGGCCTTACACTGCCAATAGAATTTAAAATCCCGACGCCATGTCCGAGAATTGAGGATGCCGGTAAAGATTTCCATAACTAGGGTGAAGAGGTAGGGGGACAAAGGATCACCTTGACGAATTCCTCTACCACTAGCAAAGAATCCATGAAGTTCTCCATTAATGGCAACCGAGAATTTTGGGGAAGATACGCATTCCATGATAAGTTTAATGAACATCGGAGGGAATCCAAATGTTTGCAAAACTATATGAAGGAATCCCCAGTCAACCATATCATAGGCCTTCTGAAAATCTATCTTGATGGCACATTTCGGCAAATAGGGCTCATGATGAAATCCAGCAAAGAGTTCCTGGGCGAGTAGGATATTGTCACCAATTATGCGCCCCTTAACAAAAGCATTCTGGGATGGACTAATAATAGTCGGCAACACCGAAGCAATCCTATTTGCCAAGATCTTGGTGATGCATTTATAAATAGTGTTGCAGCATGCAATGGGCCGGAAGTCACTCATTGCAGAAGCATTTGGCATCTTCGGTACAAGCGTGAGGATGGTAGTGTTGAGCTCCTTAAGCAACGATCCAGTTTTGAAGAAATCTTTAATTGCTATCGTAACAGAAGGACCTACTATTTCCCATGAGGCTTTGAAAAAATCAACATTAAAACCATCAGGGCCCAGAGCCTTACCTTTTGCAAGAGAGAACATAGTGTTCCGTATTTCGATATCAGTGACATCCCTGGTCAGAGTAAGGGTCTAATTGGCATCCAGAACTTGATCAACTACCTCCCGAATATCTGCCCCAGAAGGCTAGGTATTAGGAGAGTCAGCAGCCAGAAGATTCTCAAAGTAGGATACAATGTGATGCTGGACTAAGCATGGTTCGGTGAGAATATCACCGACGTTGTCGGAAACCGAAAGGATACGATTATTGAGATGTCTCTTGTTAACAAAGTGATGGAAGTACTTTGTATTGCGATCACCTTCCAGCAGCCACTTAATCCTGGATTTCTGTTTATAGAAGGATTCCTCTTGGATTCTGAGTTCAGAAAAGGCTTAGAGCTGCTCCTTCTCTTGATTGGCTAGTAACATGTTAAAAGGATCAGTAGAAAGATCATCTTGGGTATGCATAAGAGCTGCCCTGGCTACAGCGGTACGAGAGGAAATATCCGAGTAGGCATCTTTGTTCAGCTGCCTGAGGCGCCTTTTAAGAATCTTAAGCTTTTGGCATAGAATGTACATAGGAGTTCCAACAATCCTAGATTCCCATACCTGAGTGACGATGTCCAAAAAAGATGGATGGGATATCCAAAAGTTGAAGAATTTAAACGGCTTCCTGGCATAGTTAGGAGGCAAAATTCTGATGATCATGGGCGAGTGATCAGAAACTCCGGGAGGCAAGAATGTGGCCTCCGAGAAAGAGAAAACTCTGCACCAATGCTCGTTAATATGTACTCTGTCAATTTTCCTTTGCTTACGGAGTGCACCAGAAGAGGTTGACCAGGTAGATCTATGGCCAACATATCTTAAGTCGTCAAGGCCGGCTTGGTCTAAGCACGTGCCGAATTCGTCAAAAGCAGGAATTCAAGCATTGGAGCTACCAATTCTATCCGACTAGTGTCGGATGGCATTAAAGTCATGAGCAACCAACCAGGGATCAGCAACAAAACAACTACTTGATTGAACAAGATCATACCATAAAGCCATTCGGGCAGCAAAAGTGTGTTTCCCATAAGCCACAGACATAAAACAAGTTTTATTCAAAGCTAGTATGCGCAACTGCCCATGAATCACCTGTGTGGACATGGATATAACTACTAGGTCCACCTCTTGGGGTTTCCATCCAATCCAAATTCTTCCACGAGGAGAGAGATTATAGTTAGAGGTCCACACCCAACCCGGTAATAACCCAATGGAGATCTTGACAAAGAAAGACGGATTGACCTTCGTCTCAAGTATGCCAATACAAGAAAGCATATTAGATCTAACTAGGGATCTAATCTCGGCCTGTTTGAGGGGATTCATAAGGCCCCTAATGTTCCATATTCCAAAAAAACAGACAGGAAATATACAAGGGAGAGAGAGGCCTACCGCCTTTTCTTGCCAACCCATTTTTTCTTCGAGATGGGCATTTTAATAGTAGAAGGGCTGCTGTTGGGGTTGGGAGGGGCCAGAGCGGGAGCAAGCAAAGGTGTGTCACGACTTCCCATATCTGTTGCATCCCCAGGGTTCAGAACAGATCGTGATCTGGTGTGTGGTGGGGCAGGAGAGGGGTCTTTCTCTGAGTCGCTACCAATGTTGTTGGCCAACTCCTTATCAGTGTCTTCCGAGTCAGAAGAATCCATAGAGGTAGCAGGAGATGGCAAGCCAAGGTCGGGGAGGGACTTCTCTACCATACTAGATTTTGGTTCAAGAGATTTGAAACTAATCCCAGGGGAGGGCGTCACAGCAGGGACTCTAGTCTGTCCCGCACCATTTTTTTTCTTAATAGTTTCCCATTTATCACCTCGCGCAGGAGGTATTGTATCTGCAGCAGCTGCTGGTGTTGGGTCATTCTGAGTGGCAATATGCACTACACTCGGAGGAGGACATCTGTGGTCGAACGTGCCACAAGTCATACATGATACAGGACGCCATTCAAACTCAACAACGATCGTCCAACTCTCATCATTAATGATGACTTCCACCGATGCAAGTATTTTCTGGTTTGCCTTGATCTCTACACACACTATGGCATAAGAGATCATTCTCATTTTTTCAGTTTGCATATCGACATGCAATGGTTTTCCAATTGCACTAGCGATTGTACTTATGCCTGCAACAGACCATAGAGCATAGGGAATATCCCTCAGTTTGACCCAGACCGGCAGGGATTCATGGTGGTTCTTCTTCATCTTTAACGCTGGGTGCCACTGTTGAAGAATCATAGGAACTCTGAGTATGGTAATAGAGCCACGTCTATAAGTCCGTTGTCCCTGAGGAGCAGTAGCATAGGAGGTTCCCGCTTCTACAGGAGCAGCCTGAGTATTGAACTTTGCGGGTACCATAGAAAGAGTGGTCCGCAGGGTGGCATCGGAAGAGTCAACAATAGCCAAAGAGGGATGTTGAGGGAGTACCTTGGCTTGTTTGGCCTTCGCCAATACCTCAGGAGCCATCGGTACAGGAAACATCTCCCGTGAACTGGGTTTTCCATCCATGGAGTTCCTCACACCAGAGCTGCCATGGAGTACACCAGAGGCACCGCATAGGAATCAACTGAAGGGTTGAATGGCAATGTATAGGCGGCGCCCTTCCCAGAATCTTAGTACACAAAATCAAGGCAATTTCCAGAAAACGCTCCTGCACTTACGAACAGAGAGGAAATCAAGAAAATTCCTAGATCTGTCCACCAGACAAAAAGGAGGCACCGTGTGGGAATCCCTACGGTCAATGGAGGGTATACCTCCTGGCGAAACTCAGCTCCAACTCTCAGAGAAATCCAATGGTCTGATCGACCAGAAATGAAGAAGAGCCAGACGGGTGAACAGTGCCACGAACGCCTGCTCTCGAGAGAGAAATGCACAGTACTCAGGTGAACAGTACCAGGGCGCCCGCAAATGTGATAATTTTGAGGTTGATCACCAACGAACTGTATAAAGAAGTGAAGGAATGACTCAATTAAGAGAAATTCTTACATTTTACAACTCAAAATCTTCTTTCTTACAACTCCGAATGCACTTTCCTATTTATAGATAGACTAAGACATTATATTGGGAAACATTTAATTGTGGAAACATTAAGCTAGGAAATAATGAATTAGGAATATTAAACTAGTAGATGTTCTATTAGGAAATATTATATTAGGGATTCTAGTCAAATTAGAAAATCCACTCAAATAAGGAAACAATCCTCCTGCTTTGACTAATGAGCCTTCATTCTTCAATTTCTAGGAACTCTATCTCTCTTGCTTCTTATTGGATCCATTGGATCATGTCGCCGAAATCTTCCTTGCTTGTATAAACATAGTCTCGGTTAATTGATGAGATTTCGAGTTAAACTTATAAGTTGATTATCTTCCATACAATTTGATGCCCCCGCGTCAACAACTTTATAAGCTGCAAAAACCGAACCCTCGCTTTCATGGTCTATTAGAATTAATCTTTAAGCAATTTTTTTCGTACAAATAAAATTCATCTGTAAAAGACATAATCACCACTCTGTCCCGATTCATTCAATAAGCAACAAACAGAAGGAAATCTAATGAGTGTTGTGAATAATGGTGCCTCTTTGACCACAATCTGCCATTAAGATTAATTGGCAACCGGAACCAACACAATAAAAGGACATGCAGCACATTCGGGAAAGTATCTCAGACAAGAAATTCACAGATAGAGGTGGTAAATGGGTCAAGAACCCATTTATTAACCCAAATATAATGATGATGGGTTATTAATGGGTTGGTTTTAGTTAAAAAAAAATAGACTTAAATGGGTCATTAATGGTTTGGCCTATTAACTTAATGGGTATTAATGGGTCACAAATGGGTTACCCAACAAGTTTAAGTGAATAACAAACATATTATTTTCATTTTTTTTAATTTTCTGATTTTTAAATTTTCAAATTTTTTATAGTACTTTTCTTTTTTTTCTTTTTCTTTTTTCTTCTTCCCCGCCGGTGGTTGGCCGAGGCGACGGCCGGTTGCCGGCCACAGGCGAGGGACGAGCTCGCCGGAGGCCGGCAAGGCCTCGAGTTCACCGATCTGGCAAGCTTTGTGCCTTGGGCCTCACCGATCTGGCAAGACTCGAGCTTGCCAATCAAGTGAGGCCAAGGCCTCGCTATGCTCGGGGGAGCTCGAGCTTCGCCAGCCTCTAGTGAGCTCATCCCTTGCATGTGGCTAGCTGCCGGTTGTCGTCTTGGTCGGCCACCGGCGGGGAAGAAGAAAAAAGAAAAAAAGAAAAAAAATGATTTTTTAAAAATAAAATAAAAAAAATTTAAAAAAACATTTTCAGTTTCCTGAAAACATTTTCTAGAAATGTCATATTTTCCGTGAAACAAACGGAGCCTCAATTTAAAATATATATATATATAAATTGTCCACTAAATTTGCATTGCATGAAGATGTTTTAGCAATACAATTTTTTAATATAATTATCATAAATAAGCTTTCCTAGATATAGTTAAATGGGTCGGGTAGGGATGGGTCGAGAAATTTGCCTTACGATAAATGGGTCATAAACGGGTTAAATAGATCAAGTTGGGTCAGACCATTTATGACTTGATCCAAATCTAATCCAGCCCGACCCACCCGTTTAACAAGTCTATCACAGATATTGGACACCTTTTTTTTCTTCCAAAAGGGAATGAAACACCAAAAAAGACGTACCACATGGTAACAAGAAGCAGACAAATCTCTCTCTATATATATGTAAAGCCACATTTTCGGGGAGCCTCATCAAGAACATCCTTTACATCAAACACTACAAAAACCCCACGATTTGTCATCATCATCCTCAAACTTCGGAGTCTTTCTCAAAAGTCTTAACAATGGCATCAACTTTTCTCTCACCATACAGCTTTCTCTTCTCTCTTCTCCTCCTGTTCTCAACTTCATCCTTCTCAACTGCATCCCCATCAAAGACATCATCTTTAACCGAGGACTTATCGCCAATCACACAAGCAGAGAAGCTCATTAAAGGGCTCAACTTGCACCCCAAAGAAGCTGTTAATATCAGAACTAGAGATAAAGATTCTTCTTCTTTGGCTTCTGATGAGAAGATCATCGAGAGGCGCTTTGAGCTCCCAGTTCTTGGTGATTCCGGGTCGTCCATTCAGGACCTCGGTCACCATGCCGGGTATTACCGGCTTCCGCACTCCCGTGCTGCAAGGTGAGGCCTTGGAATTAAATTTGATAGCCAGATTTTTTTTTTTTTTTGGATGTAGAATATGATTTTCATATATCGAGTACTCAATCAATATGTTCTAGAAATGTTTCGAGTCACCTGTTATACTTATTTTGTTAGGCCTAGATGATAGGAAAATTACTGGGGTTATCAATGAAACATGATAAATGAGAAGTTAACAGAAATCAGTTTCTAAAACCAGCCAAGAAATTTTCTTTCTTATATATGTTTCTTCGATTCGCGCGAGCCAAATGAGATTCGGCACGTTCTAGTACATCAAGTTCTGGTCACGACTCTTTGTCCTGTTTTTTGTCCGATTTTTCAGGATGTTCTACTTCTTCTTCGAATCACGGAACAGCACAAATGACTCAGTGGTGATATGGTTAACCGGAGGGCCTGGTTGTAGCAGTGAATTGGCATTGTTCTATGAGAATGGCCCTTCCATATTGCCAACAACTTGTCTCTTGCGTGGAATGATTACGGTTGGGACAAGGTGAGTGGGTGACAATTTTGTACAAATCATAGCATTATTAATCATAATTAATACTCCCAAGAACGTTGCATCATTCTTTGGATTTTTCTCTTTGTTCTAAATATTTGTTTTGAATTATCCAGCGTTAGCGTTGTTTGACGGCATCGTCCTACTACTCTTTTCTGTTGTGTTTTTCCGTGACATTATTGCACATGATGTTGGGTTAGTTCGTTTCAGTATTCTTTCTTGGAAAGCAATTGCCAACTTCTTCTGTTGCTTTCGCCTTCGATAGCTTGTCATGAAACAAAACTTCAACATTGTTTTGACAAATTGATAGTCGTGTGCGATAATAGTGATCATGGTCAATAAAATTAATTATTGAACGAATAAACAATGCGTATCTTATTAAATTAAAACGGAAAATCAGACAATTTAAAAACACATGTTGTTGATGTATAAACTATTTACATTTTGAAGTATATCACATTACATGCTTTTGTTAATGTTTTTTTTCCCACAGGTGTCGAATATCATCTTCGTCGACCAGCCTACTGGAACCGGTTTCAGTTACTCCTCTGATGAGCGTGACATTCGGCATGATGAGCAGGGTGTCAGCAATGACTTGTACGACTTCTTGCAGGTGTACATGAGCTCATTGATCATAATCTAAGCACCTGATTGACTACTTTCGTTTTTACGGACTTTTGATTGGGTACTTTTCAAGTTAAGAATTCAAGCATATGATAGATATCTTGCTGCGATGTTCAGGCATTCTTTGCAGCGCATCCTCAACTTGTCAAGAATGATTTTTACATAACTGGAGAATCGTACGCTGGGCACTACATTCCCGCTTTAGCTGCTCGTGTTCAACAAGGGAACAAGGCAAAGGAAGGAATTCACATAAACCTGAAGGTACTTCATGTTTGTCTGGTAATTTCTTGCATGACATATTAACTTGGTCTTTCTTTTGACATAGTTAACTTCTGAATCTCGAACAGGGGTTCGCAATTGGCAATGGCCTAACCGATCCTGAGATCCAGTATGGAGCATACACAGAGTATGCTCTAAACATGGGGTTGATCACGCAGTCTGATCACGACAGCATTGACACATTGTTCCCAAAATGCAAACAGGCGATTCAACAGTGTGGTATCTTTTTTGGTCCTAAATCTCTGTTTATGCTTCATAAAAACATTCGGGAAGCTCTCTTTTTTCTTTCTGAAAGCGGAGAGTTTACTATTAATCTTTGCAAATTATGTGCAGCAACCAAGGGCGGAGATGGCTGTGGGTTAGCATTTCTCAAGTGCAACATTATTTTCGCTAAGATTAGGGACTTTATCGGGAACACCAATGTACGATAGTGACAGTCTACTTTTCCCTTGACGGAAGCTTTCTGAAATTAACGTTTGATTACCGTGAATTTGACATGTTGATGATTGACCTGCAGTACTATGATATACGAAAGAGCTGTGAGGGGCCACTGTGCTACTTCTGAAACATGGAGACACTCCTGAACCAACAGACGGCGAGAGATGCTTTAGGAGTCGGGGATATAGGGTTTGTGTCGTGCAGCAGAGAAGTGTACACAGTGATGGTCTGGGATTGGATGAAGAATCTCGAAGCAGGTATCCCCACGCTTCTTGAGGACGGGCTGGAGGTGCTCATTTATGCCGGTGAATATGATCTCATCTGTAATTGGCTTGGTAAACCCCGATCTTTCAAGTTGGTAGACACTAGACAGAATCAAACGAACATTACCTGGTGAATGACATGTCTTTCCTGATGTTAATTTGATCAGGAAACTCCAGGTGGGTTCATGCCATGCAGCGGTCCGGTCAAAAGCAGTTTGGGACATCTCCAACTGTTCCATTTGTCGTTGATGGTGCCAAGGCAGGATTGGTGAAAAGCCATGGACCACTTACTTTCTTGAGGGTCTCTCTCTCTCTCTCTCTCACAGAAGCACACGCACAGGATTGCAACATGCGAGCATGCGCACACAACATACTATAAAGACAAGAGAGGTAAATTATAAGTTCAATTCTGGCTGCTCGATGAAATGCAGGTTCATAATGCTGGGCACATGGTACCGATGGATCAGCCAAAAGCTGCTCTACAAATGCTAAAGAGCTGGATGGCAGGCGAAGTTGCCACAGTTGGTGCAGATAGCGAGATTGCTACTTAATGAAAAGAATGCCAACAGTACCCAACATTTGAATCTTGTTCATATCCAAAAATACAAGATACAGGGTTAATAGAGCATAACACACTTACCAGTTAGCCCTGCATAACTTGAAGGCATGATTCCCGAGTGTGGCGTTTAACATGCCTTATCTAGCTACGGAAGAAGAGCTGAGAGACTGGATAGGGCACACATCATACTCAAATAGATAAGCAAAAATTAATTTGTGAAATTCGACGTGGTATACAAATCCAAAGTGATCTGCAGTCTATTATTTATCAAGGGGAAAAAAAGAACAGTGACATAAACAAATGAAAGAATGGTGTCATCTGACGCTTCTCTTTATGGATAATCTCCACTCCTCTACTGACTTCAATTCAAGATTCCCTCTCTTTTATCTTCCATTAGTACCAAGAGTAGAACACAAACACAAAATCCAAGTAAAAGCAGAAATCATTCAGGAATAACAGTGTGACCAGGTGAAGGCAAATCTCTATGCTTTACGAGGTTTGAGAAGCTTCACTGTCTCCCAGGTGAAATCTGGGTCGTCACGTCCAAAATGCCCATATGCTGCTGTCTTCTGAAACCTGAAGTTACCTCCTCTCTTCAGATCAAGATTGATAGAGATCATTCCCGGCCTGAAATCGAATTTCTCCTTGATCAATGCCAGAATTTCCTTGTCTGGAATCTTCCCAGTTTTATAAGTGTCTACGAACACAGATAACGGTTCGGGAACACCGATGGCATAAGAAACCTGCACAATGCAGCGTCGAGCAAGCCCAGAAGCTACCACACTCTTTGCAGCTTGCCTAACAATGTAGGCACCACTACGGTCGACCTTGGTTGGGTCCTTGCCTGAAAAAGCACCGCCACCATGAGCACCCCAACCACCGTAAGTGTCGATAATTATCTTCCTCCCAGTGAGGCCTGCGTCACCATGGGGCCCACCGATCACAAAACGTCCTGAGGGGTTGAGGTGGAAAATCGTCTTGTCGTCAAGATACTGAGGTGGAATCACGGGCTTGATCACATGGTCTTTCAAATCTTTTGCAATCTGCTCATTGGTAACGGTCTCATCATGCTGAGTCGAGATTAGGACTGTATGGACCCTCAGAGGCACCATGGCTCCCCCATCATTGCGGTATTCCACTGTCACCTGGGTCTTCCCATCAGGTCTCAGCCACGGGCATGTTTTGTTCTTCCTCACTTCGGTCAGCTTGGCTCCTAGTTTGGTGGCTAGGACGTGAGTCAATGGCATAAGCTCGGGCGTTTCATCTGTAGCATAACCAAACATGTGACCTTGGTCTCCAGCACCAATCTCCTCAGGTTTCTTGGTCAGATTTCCATGGACTCCTTGAGCAATATCAGGGCTCTGCTGTTCGATATTGACAAGGACTTTGCATTTGTCAGCGTCGAGACCGACATCGGCTGAGGTGAACCCAATTCCTCGGCATGTGTCGCGAATGATCTTCTCATAATTGACCTTAGCCTTGGTGGTAATTTCCCCGAACACCATGACCATATTTGTCTTGGTACATGTCTCACAGGCAACTTTGCTTTCTGGATCTTGCTCCAAACAAGCATCGAGGATAGCATCTGAGACTTGGTCACAGATCTTGTCAGGGTGGCCTTCATTGACAGACTCCGAGGTGAAGAGAAAAGTGTCCATTACACTCTGAAATGCCATATTGACAACAATTCTGTAGTTAGGGAGATGGTGGAAAACACCGACGATCAAAGAAATGGCGGCTACTCTGAGAGAATCATCATAGCAAAGCCTAATATCTATGTTATTCCCATACCGACAGTAAATTACCAGGCAAAAGTTCCTGCATTGTATCTGAACTGCGTGTTTCCTTGTGATTTCCCCGTGATGGCAAACAAGGCATTATAAATTAGTGAAGCAATGGCATGAAAAGCTATGAACCTACACTGTGTTTGTAATGATATGATCTCTCATGCTTCTTTGTATTGGAAAAAACCACGATGGAACACAGAGAAGACAAGCCGTTCTAGATATGCAGATCCAACAAATGCATAAATCATCTACATACAAATGATTGACAATTAAATGCGGCTTGACGACCAAACTCCTGTCGGAATCAAGGTGCTGGATCAAGACTTTCATCGAAAACCCAGAGGACATTAGTAAGAAATTGTCTAAGATCAACCTTAGGATAGCTATGCTGCTAAAATTTAGCCGACCCTTGACACACAAGCAATACAAGAGAAGGAAAAGGTGAATGATAATGATAGGACACAGTCACATGCAACATAGTTACGCCGGCGGTTGCTTTTTGTTTGGCTAAAACGTCGCACTCGGACCCACAGTGTCCAAGCCATATCTCTCAGCATCACGGGAAAAACAAAGAATGGGCACAAACCAAGAACGAGAACCTGAAATGACTCGAGAGATAATCACAACGATAATCTTTTAATTTCAAGCTCTCTCCACCAACCAACCACGTTCAACCTCTCGACTCAAGCGGCGAAATTTGCACGAGAGAGCCCATTATGTTCGCAAGACGAAGCCGAGGATAACGAGCACCCAAACAGAGTACGTGATCGACATCAAATCTTGGGCGCAGACGGGACGAGACAGCAAGAAAAAAAAGGCGAAAACGCAACACTTTGTCATGAATTCAGCTGAAGTACCTGGTTTTGGGATTACCAAGGATTTGCAGAGCCTGTGCAAGGGAGGAAAATGCGTGTTGAACTCTGGAAAACAGAGGACCAAGAGATGGTTAAAGGGGGCGTGTTTTATAAAACGTCCCGCATATGAAGGGCGAGTCTGTTGCGTCGCAACCAAGAAGAAGAAACGGTCTTCTCGCTTGACCCGCTCTTGGCCTTTCCAATCCGGGATTTCAAGATCCAGCTTTCTCGTACGAGGATGTTCGGAGGAATATTTTAGCGGTTTTCTTGGGAATGCTGACGACAGTACTCATCGAAATATTTGTCAAGAACATAAGCTTGCATGCATTATAACATGATGAGAAAAGCCTGACGTGAATGATTTAGGAGTGTTGAGATTAGATATCGAAAAATTCGTAAGAGAAATCATCAACATGTAATTTTAGAAGTTGGTTTATTCAACAAAGTAAACACCCTTACAAGATTATGGACATGATGTCATTCTTGAAGTTGGTAATTTTAACTTATAGGTCATCTCATATTTAAATTCGTGAAAAGATAATAATAAAAGAGGCATTCTAACGCAAAATTTGGCAAATACGGAACTAAAGAAAGGGACACTTGATCAATAAGATTTTGAAATAATTTACACATAGCGATAATTATACAAATTGTCTCCGGACTTTAGCTCAATGCGCAATTTTGCTCCTGAACTTTTAGTTTGTTAAATATGGTCCTTTAACTTTATTTTAATGTGCAATATTATCCACAAACTTTTGATACATGTTTAATCTAGTCTTTAGATTACAAGAAATTGTTCAATGTTACCACGAATTTGAATTAATGGAATGACAACACTGTACGTTTTCATATAATTCAGTGACTAAATTGAACATGTACCAAAAATTCATAGACTATATTGAACAAATTAAAAATTCAGCGACAACATTGCATATTCATTTCTATCATTTTCTTCATGAGGACACAAAAAATATTGCGAGATAATTCTTTGAAGTGATTTATCCTATTAATTTTATTGGAGAAAAAGGATATATAATTTCGAGTTTATCAAAATATCAGTTGTGAATATCGTAACGACAGTCAGTGTATTAGACTAGATGATCGTCAAATGACTCAACTTTTTTTACACCGTTTTCCTTGAAATATTCATCAACAGGCGCCCGCTATTCGTGATGGCAGAGATAATGAGTTACGAACTAGAATCACCATCGTTGTAAATAGAGAAAACCTCAAGTTCGCCATAGAGTGACAAACCAATCAGGAAACTTGGGCTGAAGAATGATGAATCCGAGAGGTAACTACATTTCCTGAATGTCGTATTTCAAAGAATATGACCATCTCTATATAGTTCGCATTGTTTTTCAACGAAAGAAGATTGAACTTCCAAGCCAACACTCGATTGTGAATTCAGTAGATGCCGTGCGGATGATCTTCATATATAGAATTCCACGCAATGCCAGCGAGTGTTGCAGAAGAGATATGCGTTTAATTTACATACTCTACAGTGTGGCTGAGAGAGGATTGTCGCGGGCAGTTTTCATAATCACCCAACTTCCATTTGCATGTGTTTGAGAAGTATTAGTAGAAGTTTCTGTCAAAATCGAAAAGCTATCTACATAGACCCCCAAATAAGAGATAAGCGGGTCACCCCGAGATTTGTCGATCACAAACCTCAACTCCTGCGTTTCAAGCATAGGAAATTGCAGGAGCCTCTGGTATCCCACCGTGGTGCCGTTGATCACTTGTCTCCATTCTTCTCCGTTGTTCAGGGTGTCAAGATGGAACTGTATAACCCGCTGGCCCAATTGGATCGGCTCCTGCACTTGCAGAACATTGAACTTCACCTTCTCCTGAAACCTTAGATGTAATGTCCAATCTGACTGATTCTCCTCAGGTGCCCAATAGCTGTAGATACCCTCTTTGAGGACATTCTCCGGGCTGAAACGGGAATTGTTCATCATCCCTCCTCGGGTACTACTGGCACTGAGAAGAGCACTCCTGGCTAGATTTTCATCAAATATCGACCCCCGAAGCTCATTAAATTCTTGAAGCACTTGTACGTCTTCTTCAGATATGAGACCCGAGGAGTTTGGAGGTACGTTTAGTAACAAGAGACAGTTTCTTCCAACGGATTTGTAATAGATGTCGAGAAGGGTTCTTGCAGACTTAGGAACTTCTGAGGCATGCCAAAACCAACCGGGTCTGATGGAGACATCACACTCGGCTGGCACCCAGTCATGCCCAACAGGGTCTCCACTCCTTGAGTATCTGATTTACGTAATTAGCAATTCAGCACCAAGAAGTTGGAACTTTTCAATGGCTTTTGTAGAAGGAAAGCAATGAAGAGCAAGAAAGGCGGACCTAATTGGATGAAGGGATCTCTCTCATATTCACAACAATCTAACCACCACTTACCAAAGAAACAGAAATTAGGTGTCAAGGAACTATCTTCCACGATGTGAAGTCACTAGGTAAAGACAATCTGAAAATTGTTAGACTCCGATAGTTTGTCATGAAAAGAAATGGCCTTTTCTAGTTCTTTTCTGTGTTTTAAACAGCTAGCAATGATCACTTTTCCAAAAATTGACAAATTCAATCCACTCTTTGCTATACTATCTCAAACCGGTGAAATTGAGAAGGTGTTTGAACAGACGAAATTCTCTCACATGAGCTAAAGATTTCTTCTTTGAGGAAAGAACTGATTCACTGGTCATTGGAACTTCCTTCTTGCCTTCTAAACCGGAGAATAGCAAGCATGTTGAATTAGTAACCTAAAATGTAAGCATCACTCTGCTTCTTTTCTTTGGAATAGTACCCCGTTAAACTGAGATATAGAACAGAAGCTAGAAATAGAACTCACTGAGGATCAGTTCCACCGATCTTGGCGCTACTCCTATTGAATGGAGACCAGCAAGTCGAACTGGCGACGCCAGCCTCGTCCCCGATCCACCTGGTGTCCGGACCAGCATCAGAAAAAATGACGGCCCTGGGCTGGAGCTGGCGGATTAGACTAAACCAACTCTCAAAGTAATAGTCCATGTCCTTCTCTCCCTCCCCTTTGGCACCGTCTAACCACACCTCCTTAATCTCCCCATATCTGTACAATTCCACAGCACATCAACCTCAAAGTTTCACCAGATATAACAACAAACTCTCAAAATTGAGATAATTGGAGAATGTACAAGCTAATTCAGCTTCAAGCACTTTCCCAAGAATCAAGTGTCTTAACACAGATAAGCACAGACCAACAAAATGGAAAGAACACAATAATATTGCATTTACTAAGATTACAACATCAAGTGTATATAACTCCTTAGAAGGACACAATTCTAAATTTGAATGGAAAACTCATCCGAGAGAAGCATTCAAATCAACAAAAAGCAATCAGGATCCCCGAGAAACCCGAATCGGTTTTACTAAAACGAAATCCCCACTGCAATATAAACAACCAGAACACGACCAAAACGACTAAGCAGAGTACAATAATGAGCAAAATCCGGCAAAATGGAACGGCAATTTCAAGTTCTTTTCACCTGGTCAGCAGCTCCGCCATCTGTCCCATGTAGAATTCATTGTACTCCACCGTCCGTCCATACAACGGCTCGTGCCGATCCCACGGCGAGAGATATAGCCCCAACCCAACACCGGCGTCCCTCGCTGCACTCGAGAGTTCCGCAACCACGTCGCCGCGGCCGCCCCGCCACGGGCTCGACCGCACGGAGTAGTCCGTGTACTCGCTCGGCCACAGGCAGAAGCCGTCGTGGTGCTTGGCGGTGAGGATCACACGCGAGAATCCGGCCTGCTTCGCGACGCCCACCCACTGGGCAGCGTCGAGGCGGGTGGGGCGGAAGACGGAGGGGTCCGCGTGGCCGGAGCCCCACTCGGAGTCGGTGAAGGTGTTGGGCCCGAAGTGGAGGAAGAGGGCCATGGGGGAGGACTGCCATCGGAGTTGCCGCGAGGTGGGTATGGGCAGAACCGGGAGTGGCGGAGGTATCTCGGGCGAGTCAGCCGATCGGACGAGACAGTCGCCAACAGAAGAAACAGAAAGGAGAGAGATTGATAGCGTGAAGAGGCTCAAGAATGCGTTTGGAGAGATGGGGCTCGCGCATCTCGAGGCCATCGTCTCCTTCTTCATCGTTCGCTGATGTTGTCGCTCGACAGAGACAGAGAGAAAGAGATCAGAGGAGGCGGTCGGTCATGGCGAGTTGGGTATGAGCGCTGCGCAGTCGTCGTCCCCAACTCGATCCGCCATTGGAGAGACCGATTGGTGTTTGGGTCCGGCGAAGTCAAAGCCGGTCGACACGTTGGAAAGCAACCTCGTTTTGGTATTGACCGGTCGGTAAAACTCAAAAAAACATCATAGATTTTCACAGCAGAGTCTGAGTCAGAGAGGAGGCATCTTCCATAGCCCGAGCAAAGGATCAAAACATCATAGATTTCACGGTCGTATCCTGCCTATAACATTACGCAAACAACCATTGAGATATGTTTTTTTTTATGATCTAATTAAACTACCCAAAAAAGGATCTCTGAAAGGATTGCAGAAGCACCGGAAATCAGTTGCGATGAACTCAAGTTCCTATGAGAAATTCTTTTATTGCAATATTAAGGGTAGGTACGTTTCACGAAAAATGAGTGATTTGAAAAATATTTTTTTGAAAGATACAAAAGTAAATGAATGGCAATTTATTTATCGCCCATGAAAATAGTCAGGCATATATTGATATCGATCATGAAAACATTTTCCATTGATCAATTTCTTTAAACGATATAAGCAATCATTTTTCGGAAAATATTTTTCAAATCACTCATTTTTCGCGAAACGAATGGATCCTAAGAAGCGCCTTAGGGCTATGGTATGAGAACACTGGTTCGATATGAGATTGATCTTTTGATATGCTATTTGTCAAACATAAGTCAAGCATGAGATAGGTATCTCTAAATTGTTCTGCTCTTTGGAAAAGTCGTCATAAACAATTACTTTGCACATCTAAGAAAAGGGTATCTCAAAATCGAATTAATAATTATATAATTAATTTTAAGCATTCATAACTAAAGTGTGGATCATTATACTAGAGTATTATGCATAAGCATATATGAGAACATATCGATTGAAGAATTTGAGATAAAATATGCATGTGAATTACCAAATGCATAGGATTAGAAACTTAAACTCCGTTTGTTTGGCAAAAAATGAATGATTTGAAAAATATTTTTCCTAAAAATAATCGTTTCAAATAATTAGTCAGTGGAAAATATTTTCATTATCGCCAATAATTTATAATAAAAATCTTTTCGGGGATGATGAAAATATTATTCGTTCATTCATTTTCGTAAGAGATATAAGTGATCATTTTTTAATAAAATATTTTCTAAATCATTCATTTTCCTCAAAACAAACAGAGCCTTAAATTGTGCAATTGTGGGAAAACACTATCTCTTAATCGAGAAACTCTCCATCTCTAAGAAAATAAAGAATACATAATATTTTTTTAATTTCAATTTCTAATTAGAAGTTAAATTCTTCTTTGTCAAATTAGCAGAACTATCTGCAGATCTCTTCTATAAAATCGAGTTGGAAAGTATCTCTTTAGTATAAATTATTTCATTATCAAACCATAAAATGAAATCAAATTTTGATCAATTAAAACATTATATCTATACGTTTCTTTATTTCAAAGTAGAATTTAAAAGTATAGAATCAAGTGAAGGAAATTAATTAATCGACAAATTAGATTCTATTAAAAACCTTATAATTACAAAATTACCACATTTATGAAACACTAAATGGAAAAAAAGAAAAAAGAAGTTGAGAAGAAAGATTAGTTGGAAATACTGAAAAGAGAACCTTGCCCCCTAATGTTAGAATGCCCATTACCTTCACAAAATCTTTAATTACAGGGCCACATGTTAACAAGGGCTTAATTAAGACCCTCCTCTTCCTTATAGTAAATATTTAGAAATATGATGATAATTTCAGTCATCTGTCTTATGTATGTAGGACTCGATGTACCCTACCATCCGTCCAATAGGTTGCGCCGGTACCACGGCGAGATATATATAGAGCACGAACGCACATCTTTTTGGCGTCTGTGCGATAGGCTATACCGCATCGAGCATACTGCATCGAGTAGCTCAAATATGGCATAAGAATTAAGATCGTTTCATCCACTTCGATGAACTTGCATTTGATAATTAGTGTCAATTGAGTAGTTAGATAAATTTCTATGATGCTTATTCGAAAGCTCTCTCTTGCTCAACATCGAATTAAATTAATTCTTTTTCTGCCATTTCCAAAAAAAGGAGGAGTAATTGTCCAAGCCCACGTCCAACTATCGGCACCATGAAGGGGGTGAATATAGACTTTCGAAGGACGAAATGAAAAGGTAATTTTGAAGCTTCACGACAAGCAGAAAGATCATGTTTTATTGAATTGATCTTGGACAATGATAACTGAAATAACATGGGAAGGCACAACATATACTCAGAATTTCAACTGATTGTCTTAGGTATTAAGACCAAACTCTTAGAAATGATTTATTAAGTGACATGACGGATTTTACTTATGTGTCGAATACGATGATCCACTTACAATTTGGTTAAACTTTGTAAAATAGTTTGGGATGCCAATATTAGTGTACTAAGCATCCTTAAGATCACAAACAAGCTTCTCAAAGGTATTCATGGCTGAAAGTGGCAAACCCAACACCACCGCAATGCCTTTCTCTCTGCCGTCCGTCATAAACAAGCAGTTTTGCCTTTGCAGGTCACCGGTCCCAAACCTCAGCTCTCCCCACCCAAAGTCCGTGGAGCCATACTCGAACCTCGTCCATGAACTTATTACTAGTGTGCCTACAGGGAGTCGCTCTAGACGATTATTGTCATAATAGTCGATTCTCGACTGTACGTAGTTGTCAGTTGCACTCTCAATCGCCTTCTTTATTCTTGTTGCGGAAGCAGATATTGGCTCCTCGATCAACTCTCCCATGGTGCAGAGACAGCAGGGCCAGACCACGGTGTTCCCAAAGTATCCGTCGGGCAATGGCGTTCTTAGTCTAGACCTGAAGTTAAGCGCAAAAAGAAACATCGATTGTTGGTGAAGTTTCATCTTGAGGGCCATACTGCGAGCCCGCCACACAAAGGCTGCTAGTGCTACAAAGGTGGTGCATCTGCTCGTTACCTGTTGCTCAAGATGAATAGATTCCGTTTTTGGTGACCAAATATTCATGTAAGGCTTACTTGATAGCCATAAATGTAAGTCATATAAATGTCTTAATAGATTCATATATTTACACCTAACATGACAGTTGTAACCAATCAAACCGTAAGGAATGTGCATGCTAATGTTCCTCGTCAGATTTTCTCAGATTTAATTTGGTAATGGTATTCCATATACATTGGTCAATCAAAACTATATTTAGGGAAGAAATGATCTCATGAACGTATAGTTTTAGTTGCGGTCATTATTTAAAAGTTGCAGAGGAATGTGTTCAGTTGAAAATTTATTTTGATGTAGTGTTGGGTGTATTTGGAATTTTTTTTGGAACTAACTGAGTTGATGTGTATTTTATACAAAGATGTCCATGAATAGCCACCTATCCATTATCACAAAATATAAATTTACCCGTTCGTCTTTCATTGCCATTCTTTTTAGGGTCGCTAGCTTCTCAGTGTCGAAGTGGAAAGATTTATATACAAATTGTTGTTAGGGGTGTAAACGATTCGGTTCGGTTTTCTTGAAAAACCGAACCGAACCGAACCTTTAAGGGTGCCTCCCTGAACCGAACCAAATAGGAACCGAACCGAATTGGAACCGAACCGATAAGCCGATTTGGTTCGGTTTGCTTTTCGGTTTCTTCTTTTTTTTTTTTTTTTGCTTTTTTATTCATGGCTCAGTTTTCTGTTTTTATGAAAAAAATTTCATGATAATTTTTTTATGATAATTTTTTGATAATAATATGTATTTATGATAATTTTATGATAAAAAATTAAGAAAGCTCTAGAAATTTCATCACGTTGTAGAAAAAGATAATGGCTTCAGTAGATTATGTATACTTAAGAAACCATAGATTATGAAAAAAAGATAATTTTATGACAATTTTTATGATAATTTTATGATAAAGGACTGTACATGTTTCGCTTGATGCAATTGAATGGTGTTGAGCCTGATGAGTCAGTGCTGGTTAGCACACTCTCTGCTTGCGCTCACTTGGGGGGCTCTGGATACTGGTATTTGGATTCACAGGTTTGTCAACCTGTGGCGGTTGACATTGAGTTCTCGACTGTGTACCGGTCTCATAGATATGTATGCCAAATGTGGGTATATAGACATAGCCAAGAAACTGTTTGATAAAATGCCTGAAAAAGATAATATTTGCTGGAATGCTATGATTTCAGGATATGCAGTCAATGGTGACGGAGAGAATGCACTCAAGCTGTTTACAGAGATGGAGAATGGTGGCATTCGACCAGATGACATCACATTCATTTCCATCTTCACTGCATGCAACCATTCAGGTTTGCCACGTGAAGGTCTGAGGCTGTTGTATAAAATGTTGACAGTGGAGCATATGTTCTACTTTCTAACTTATATGCTGTTGCCGAAAAGCAAGATGAAGTTCGAAGAATCAGAAAGTTGATGACAAGCAGAGGAGTTTACAAGGCACCTGGTTGCAGCTCAATTCAACTTAATGGGGGTGTCTGTGAATTCATTGCTGGAGAGAAAACACACCCACAGATGGATAGGATATATAGTACTTTGGACAAGTTGAATAAGCAGTTCGACTGCTGAAGGAGTTGAACTACACAGTAACAGTGTTTAAACCCTCCGACATGTTCACAAAAATGAGAAATCAAGGTCCCAAACGCTCCGACATGTTCACAAGATGAAGCATCTTCAGCAGCAAGGTTGGCCACCACCTTCACAGCATGAATCCGTACATTGGCATCATCTGACTCATTGAAGTAGACATCTACCAATCTATGACAATTAAAACCTGAAATTATTATAATTCAAGTGGCTGTGTCAAGTTAACAAACTTTGTATGACAAGCAAATACTTAATCCAAATAAAAGCATAATAGAAGGGGTAGCCATTAAAGTACCAGAGTTCTTAGTACAGATGTGAGATAGTACCGCCATATGTAGCCAAAGACAGCCAAGATCAAAACATTGTGGTGAAAGCGTGCTATATCACATTTACAAAGTAGGCTAGTCATCACGAGAGATAGAAAACACTATTAATTATTTGTATTGCAGCACCAAAAAATGGTCCTGTTTTTAGTCTCTGGCATTGATGAATATAAGGGGTTTCATTATATGTACTGGAACAACTTTGTCCCAGTACATACCTATTACTATAGATCCAAATTGAGTAAGAAGATGATCTAAATTACGTT